TTTTCATATTAAATTATTTTCACAAGTTTATCCTATGTTTTTCTTATGGTTGGAATTGCAATGATCATACTTGATAAAGAAGCAAAACAAGATTAACAGAATGACTTGTGTAGTTGGAGGATAATCACTCCATAGGTGGCTAGGTTTTTGTTGATGGCTACTCTAACGTAGTCATGTTTTGTATAGATGTTGACCGAAACATAGGTTTATTTTACTCTTAGTACTATATTTTGTATATTACATGCATGTATAGGATACTAGTTACTAAAAATATGATAAACTCTATCTTCTTATGTTTGTTATTTAGTCTTTCGGGGCATGATAATCGTTCAGTAATAAGTATAATGAATTATTAGATCATTACAATTTTGATCTCTTAAGTTTAAATTAAGAGTATTTGATCTCTCAAATAATGTAGTCGTGGAGTTTTTGTTTTCAATTAATGCAACTATGCAATTTTAGTCATTTATATTAAATATTTTATTATTTTTTATTGATGTATTGGTGATCATGACATGATGATAAGATATGTAAAAATAAAAAATAAAAATTTATTAAAAGGTCAAACATGACATTTAAACCCTTGACTAAGAATGACAATGAGATTCCTTAGTGCGAGTTTAGATCCTCTTCATTTTTTTCTCTCAATTTCTTGTCTATTTCTATAATTTTGAATGTATAAATATTAAATGTTAATTACCAAAAAGTTATTAATATTTCAATATCATTTATATAACTATAGAAATGGACAAGAAATTAAGGAAAAGAAATGGAAAGGAACTCAATTTCCATAGTATGCATCTTTCTCTACCCTCATGCACACCACATACTTGTGCAATCATTTGTTAAGTGGATATCCATAAATTTTATTACAAGACATAATTTAAAAAGAAATAATAATTTTTTTTATAAAACACATTATGATTTTTACAAAATATTAATTTTATTTTTCATCTTTTACCCTTATTAAGGATTGTGAGAATACGTACAACTCAATGTTGGATAATAAGAAGAAAAAAAGATAAATAAATATTCTCTCTCACATCTCTTAAATTTTCTAATTAATACTTATATCATAGATTTCTAATTAATTTTGTAATGTATTTATATTTTTGTGCAATATATTTATATTTATTAAATTATTCATTTATCTATTAATATACTAAAAATGCTAATAGTATTAATTATTTAATTTATCAATTGTATTATTAATACTAATAATATATGTAATTATTTTAATTAATAATGATAAATAAATGTGTAAATTAATTTTGATTTAACTGCTCTATAATAGCCATCTTTTTAAAGGCAATGTAAATAGCCTAATTATTGATGACAAAATCAAGTGTTTGAAATTATAAACAAACTATTTAGAAGCAAAAAATCATCAACGATCGATTCTTCCTTTGGGATTTGACCTTCATCGGGTATAAAAACAACGCAAAACAAAACATGCAAAACATGCATGAATCAGTATTTCACAATCGGAGCATCTACACTGATTTCGTTGAACAGAAATTTCAGACTAAAAATAATCGTCTATGTTCTTTGCATTCAAAATGTGGGTAAATGTCTTATTCAGTCATTACTAAAAAATGTGGCTTCCATACATTTATAACCCATATTTTATACTGTTAAATTATGATACGATTTTTCTCGAAAAGATCATTGTATTTTATTGACACGTTTTTTATAATGTTTTCTATTCATTTTATGTAAATATATAAATATATATATATATATATATTTATTTATTTATTTAATATGTTGGAAAAAAAATAATTCAAATTATTTACTTAAAATATTATTTAGGTTAATTAAAAAAATTACTTTAAATATTTATTTATTTTTTAAAATAAAATAATAGATCTATAAATAAATATTTTTAAGATAAAAAGAATCTCTCAACCTAAAAAAAGGGCTAACACTTTATTAGAATGTCATACATTATCACCACTCTAAATAAGAGGAAATTACATAAAATAGAGGATTTTTAATTTTGTCCAAAATACTTGTAATCTAACTTGAAATAATGAATATTAATTAAGAGTTTTTTTTAGACATTGGTATAAAATATCTCATCATATTAAATAAATTTGTGTGATATTTTTTTTATTTATTCATGATATTGCCTTTTTGTATTCTATCATGTGTTTTCATACCATAAAATTCATTCAAGTATAACATATTAATGCTCAACAATTCATTCAATAATAGCGTATTAATCATACATCGCATATCAATGCTCATCACCATTTCAACTACACAAATATAGCATATCCTACATCATACAACATGCAATATACATAAGTATTCTATTCATGTTCACCAAATTCACCTATCATACAACATGTATCAACATACAACTTGTCAAAATCAATTATCGTACAACGACAATCTTTACATAAAATAATACATAGGGAGTTCTACTATTGCAATCAAACTCATTTTTATATCATATGAGAGCTAAAAAGGTTATCTACAATTCTTACGCAGACTTCAAGTTCTAACTCCATCATCTACTATACTGAAAATCACAAAACAACAACAATTTGCCTAAATGCTGACAGCTTGACTTTTACTCACTAAAAAGGTTATAATTGGAGTTCTATACCTCCTTTTTAGGTGATTCTAAATCCATTGAAAAGTTAAAATCCAAGACTACAACTTTTATGAAGACCTCAACAGCTAGTTCAACTCATACAGGGACTCTCAAGACAATCATGACCATGATAATTTTGTCACGTCCATTAGAGACTCTATTAGGTTATTGCAAATGTTTTTTGACTTCAAGCTGCAAGGATCATAATTGTGAATTATAAGTCATGCTCTGACTGACTTTGTTTTCATTTCTACAACAATTTTTGGCAGGGTAATGCTAATCATGACCATGACCACCTAGTCACGCTCGTGGCAGCTCCTAGATATGGTGTTACGAGCATGAACTCCTCAAGAACATCTCCAACGAGTTCCAAAACGATCCCAAACTCGTTTGTAAACCCCAAAATCAAATAAAAACCATCAAACTCACATGCATTCCATCCAAAAGGCTCTAAGCAACATGAAAACTAGTTTTGATGCAACATGCATGCACTCAACGTCAAGAGATCAATCACCTTGGGTTTTGGGTTCACCTTTCCCAGAAACCCAAACTTCACAACATGGAATTCATGAAAATTCAAAACTCAATAACATAATTACATTTTTTATGATAATCCAACCACATGCAAATGAAAATGGAACAATGATTCGAATTCTACTTCCCTTACCTTGATTCCAAGCTAAATTGATAAAGGAGAACTTTGAGCTTTTAAGCTTTGCACCGCCTCAACCCTTTGATTTTTAGCTTAAACTTTGAATCCGACACTCTCAACTACGAATCTCGCACTCAAGAACATTGAGAGAAAAAGAAGGGAAGAAAAATCAAATATTCTCTCTAGATCTCTCTCTCTCTAAGATTTCTAGAGAGCAAGAGATTATAAACTTTGTTCAAAACAAATACCTTATATATTTTTCCTCCCAGGATCAACTAAACATCTTGTCAGAGATCCTCACAGCTAACCCAATTTTACATCTTTTATTTATCATAATTATTTATGAATCATTTTTAAAATACAATTTATGTTTAAAAATATCTATTTATATAAATTTTAAATATAATTTATATATTTAGATATAATATTTATTTTTATATAATTTATTATATATTTTAATTATATATAATAAATATTTAACCCATACATTACATAGACTAAAATATTAATTATATTTTAATATTAATTAGCTTTAAATAAATGACGCTTCATTACTCCTATATGGTAATTAAAATAATTATCTATAATTAAATTAATAAAATACACCTTATCAATGAGTTGTACAAACATTTGATTGATTTGAAATACTTTTAATTTATAGCTTTTAAAATTTCATAAAACAAATATTTTTCTCATTAAAAATTAGTTTATAATCAACCAAAAATATTAACATTATTCTTTAATTTGTTACACATTAATTAACAGCTGGCCCATCAGTACAAGTAATAAAAAGCTTGAATCTTTTGACAAGGTTTCAATCTTGGATATGATAAAAAAAAAATTTAATCACCTATACACTGTCAGTGTAAACAAAAATTTACACTGACAACCAATTAGATCTTTTTATTGTATTATGTCACTGTTAAAAATAAATATGTTTATAGTGACATGACACAATTAAAAGATCTAATTAATTGCCAGTATTTTTTTTTACACTGACAGTGTATAGGTGATTAACTCTAAAAAAAAAAAAAATTGCTTTGTTTGTTCTTTTAAGTGAATCCAACTGGCTTCACTCGTATTAATGGGGACTGAATAATTTTAAGTATCAAGTGTTTTAAATTGAAAAAAAAAACATTAATAATTTGGGGTTTGGACCTCGAATAATAAATATACAATATGTCGCCACAAGGGTGCAAAATATCATCCGGAAAAGAGCACATTCCTTAACTAAACGTTTGCGGCCAAAAAAATGTAACCTAAATTCCAGACCACATACAAGGTTGTGCAGCATTAGTAATTTAACGTCACTATGCCTACTTAAGTAGCTGAGCCTGAAACAACTAAAATCGATTTCCGTTTTAGTGTCTGTCTCTCCATTTCATTGGAATGAACAGGAAATCGTGTTTATGCAGATGATATACATCAACATAAAAGATACTAACCATAATTTTCATCAGGAAAAAATAATATAATTGAAATGGGACTAACGATACAAATTCTTGAAAACAGAAAACATAACAAAAACAAGTATGGTGTCAAAAGAAAACAAGGTAAGATTTTTCATTGATAAAAACGAATAAATTGGACATAAATGCAAGTAAACTAAACCCCACCTTAGGTTTACATCAAATTTCAGGTCCCTGGGTTTGCAAATACATAAATGGATCATTAAACCTCAATTGATTTTCACTATAAGCAAGATCAAAAATAACGTAAACAATTCTCACTAGCAAATTGACTATGTGCATCCTCAAAATTGTTGCAAATTTCATAAAATTTATGCAGGAAAAGTTATTAGGCTCCAAATAAATAGACAATTCAAATCCCAGACAGAAATTTTCATGAAAGTATTAAAAACGTACAACATGATTAAACTCGATTAAAATTAGCTATAGGTCACACCATTGCCTTTTATAACTTCACCCATGCGGTAGAATTTCTCTGTTTTGCCCCGGCTCTCGAGTATTCTATTAGCTGCCTCTGGACTAACTACCAGGACCATCCCTACGCCCATATTAAAAGTCCGTCTCATCTCCGAGTCTTCTATCTTCCCAGCCTAATGTGAGAGGTTATCAATAGTGCTATAAGCTTTTGCTTCCAAATTAAAATTTTGAAGACCAGATTAAAAAATCTACTTGTTGATAATAAATTGTCAATTTCTTTCCTGCTAAAGTATATTTATTCAAGGAACGTTACAGAAATATGTATTACCTCCTGAAGCCACTTGAACACTGGAAGCACTTCCCATGAGCCGTCGTATATTACAGCACCGAGGCCTTCGGGAAAAATTCGAGGTATGTTATCTGTGAAACCGCCACCTGTGATGTGGGCAATTCCCTTCACCCCACCCTTGCTAACTAAGTCAAGTACCTATTTTAAAAAAGACAAAAGCAAGTCAAGCAAAGGATTTTTTATTTAAAAATGATATTCTAAAGCATGTCAAAAAGAATGACAAATGACCTGTTTAACATAGATAACAGTTGGGGCCATCAAAGCCTCTGCAATTGTAATATCACCACCAGGAAGTTGATCTTTCAATGAAAGACCGCTTTGAGCAAGAACTCTGTAAAGATATATTAGTACATCTCAGCAAATTATAATTTTATAAAATCCTAGAGATTCTATACTCGACCAACCTTCTTACAAGTGAGAAACCATTAGAGTGAACTCCACTAGATGGTAGACCAATAAGAATGTCACCAGCAACAATGTTTGTTCCATTGATTACATAATCTTTCTTCACAATGCCAACTGCACAGCCACTAAGATCATACTCACCTTCTTTATAGAGACCAGGCATTTCTGCAGTCTGAGAAACATAAAATTAACTATAAGTGCAAGAGAAGAAATATAAAAATAAAAAATACAAAAATGCTACCTCTTTATATTTCTGTGAGTATTTAGTTATTACAGCAGATGTATTAGCAACAATATAATGTAATATTGCAAAAACCTATCATGGGTTAAATCTGAACAAGTATAGATTAAAAATTACATGCACCATTTAAACCAGCAAAGGATGACTAAAGGCTCTCAAAATATATTGTAGACATGCAATAAAACAACAAAAGCAAAGAAATTGAACAGGTCTTATTCAATTAGGTAGCAATGTCTGCATGAATCAATCATTGTTATTAGGCAACCCAGAAATAGTTAATCTTTTCCTAATATTTCCTTATGTCTTCCGCAATACATTTCAATCCTCTCTCAATGAAGCCTTTATTTTACAGTCCTCTTCTCACAATACCAAGCTACCCTACAATCAGTGCTCCTCCACTTTTTCTCACAAACATTTGTTCCCAACCTTATCATTTTCTGTATATATCAAATCATTCACTCAAACACCCTCATTATGGAGACATGCACTAAGTTTAAAAAAATTATACCTTAGCATTTAGCAATGACTGTTCCAGCTACTTAACAATGTATGAAAATGAGTTGAGTTGAGCCGAGCCCAGTTTAGCTTGAAGCTTGACTCGAGTTTCACGTGAACCTTAATTTTCAGCTCAAACTCAATTCATTTCAAACTTGTAAACAACTTGGTTCAGTTTGTTAGATTGAATCACTTGAATCAACTTTATATATGTGTGTTGAGTTGATTCATGAACCAAACAGATTAAATTATATGCAACTCAAGTTCTCTCATTTACTTGTTGCTGAATTTTTAGCAAGTTCAGATGATCTGATTCACAAACCAAATTCAACAAACTAAGAGTTAATTACCTATACACTGTCAGTGTAAAAAAAATTTACACTAGCAGTGTATAGGTGATTAACTCACAAACGAATTAGCGAGTAGAATTTTGAATTATTTTCGAGTTGATTCATTTCCCTATTTCACATATCAAACCTGAATTCATCACAAAATGAAATGGCAAGAGGACCAATGTAATGTGCATCCAATTAGATACTGCGATAAAATAAACCACAAAACATATCAATTACCTCTCCTCCTAAAAGAACGCAATCAGATTGCTTACAGCCATCAACAATGCCTTTTATAACCTGGAGAAGAGGAAATTACCCGAGCAAAAAACACGAATAAGCCTTCACAACACGCTCAAAGTTAATTCAAAAACACACATCCATTACCTTTTCAGCAACGTCCACGTCAAGGTGGCCAGTGGCAAAGTAATCAAGGAAGAACAAAGGCTTCGCCCCCGAAGTAACAATGTCATTTACGCTCATCGCAACCTAAAACTATAAAAATTAAAACAACGCCCAATACTCCAACGCGGAACAGAAACGCAGACGCAAAACCAAAAATCACTTTCCAAAAACCTTTACCAGATCAATCCCAATGGTATCATGAATTCCGGTTTCGAAGGCGAGCATCACCTTCGTTCCCACGCCATCGGTGCCAGCAACGAGGTACGAGTCACCTACTCAAAACAACAAGTTCAATCAAAATCCATTCACAAGAAACGAAAAACAAAAAAGAGTGAAGAAGAAGCAAAACGTTACCGAGAGGGAATAAGCCGCCGAAGCCTCCAATCCCTGGCGCCATCTTCGCTATCCTGCGCACAAGTTCAGAGCCGGCGTCGATGTCCACACCGGCATCACGATAAGTAAGACCTTTACCAGCTTCCGCAACTATTCTGTTGCTCTTCCTCGACATTGATGAAACGCCGCCGTAACGGCCGATTGGAGCGCGCATGCTGTAGCTCACCATGGAGGCACCATTGGACTTGACGGAATGAGGTTTCGCCGTTGCCGCGGCGAAACAACGCGATGGCTCTGCGCATGCTGAGAAACTCATTGCTGAGACCGATGAAAGAACGATAAAAGACGAAGAATGAGTGAGAGAGGGTGGGGTCTAAAGTTAAGGGGAAAGGGAGAGAGGGAGAGAGGGAGAGGCGGCGCTGGTGACGGAGTCGGCGTGGCTGCGGCGGAGATGCGGTGGCGAGGGAAGACCGGAAAAAAGCGCGCCCTAGGATATGGGTTTATAGAAGGGAGAGAGATTCTATTTAGGAAATGTGCGTATAGAATAATAATCGAAACACCGTCGTTTTGGTGAATGAAAGGTTATGCTCGCATTAAATTTAAAATAAAATAATTAGGTGACAAGGGAGTATAAAAATAGGTAAATGTGATTGGATGATCGTAAACTTCAAGTATGCTGTGTTAAGGTGACGCAGAAAATAATTTTTTTAAGTTAAATTATATTTTTCATCTTTTATTTTAGACTTAAATATGTTTTAAATTCTTATAAAATTGATAATTTTAATTTTGGTTTTTTTAAAAAAAATTCTTTATTTTTTATTCTTCTAAAATTTATAAATATTGTTCTTGGTCCTTGTAAAATGACTAAATTTTGATTTTAATTCTTGTAAAATATTTTTTTTTTCATTTCTCTAAAATCTAAACTAACTATTTTTAGTTCTTAATAGTCATTTAAAAATTGATAAATAACATTTATTTTAAGAATTTATAATTTTTTTTAGAAGTATTAAACATTGATATGATATTAATAATGATTGTAATACTTAAGATGATTATTGGCATCGACACTCCAATATTGATATTTTTTACGCATATAGTACCTTGGATGCATCATATCCTTCAACATAAGGACAAACTACTAATTATTTCAACCCTATGGTGTTTATGGAAATGGCGAAACAACACAGTGTTAGCACATGAAACTTGGCCTCTTCAGTATGTCCTTCTCCTAGTTCATCAAACCAGCATGGAGTTACGATTATATTGCGGAAAGAATCTACCTCTGTCTACACCTTCTTGGAGTCCTCTAACTGTAGATGTTGTCAAAGTTAATGTGGATGGTTCATGTATTCTGCCCCATTCAATGGGTGGAGGAGGAGTTATTCGTGATACCCATGGGGAGTGGTTGCGCAGCTTCTCCAAGGCTTTTGGTTAAGGTAATGCATACATGGCTGAACTTTTAGCCATTAAGCATGGTATTGAATTAGCTTGGAGCCTAGGTTACCGCAAAGTGGTGTGTGAATCTGACTACCTAGAAGTTGTGGAAGCAATCACTCATTTTACTTTGGCCTCCATGGCTTCCCCCTCTGTGCGAGATCTCTTGATATATTCGTCTTCTTCTTTCCAGAACGTGGCAAACTCAGCTTTTATGTATTCCCCGTGAAATCAACATTGTTGCAAACTGCTTGGCAACTTTTGGAAGTCACAATGTGACACGTGAATTTATTGTGCCCCGCCATTTGTTATGGAGGCCTTATTGCATGATTTATTAGCCCTAGACTAACTGTCATTATTTATATTTTAAACTCTTTCGTTCTTTTGTAATTCCTTATTATACAAAAAAAAAAATTAATTTTTTAATAAATAGAGTTTTTAAAAAAAAGATCGTATAAAAATAAGGACTAAAAAAATAATTTTAATTTTATAAAGATAGAAAACAAAAGAACAAATTTTCAGGAACTAAAATTAAAATTTATTAATTTTACAAAGACTAAAAATATATTTACACTTAAAAAAGTTAATCAAAATTAACAACAATATTTTTGTACCAAATAATAATCCATAATTAAAATTAACAAAAATCTTTTTGTACCAAATAATAATCCACAGTCGTATTATTAGTAGCTTAGTATCCAACTTTTTTTTTTCTTTATAACCAACATACATATTGTTTGACCTTATTTAATAGGTAACAATTGAGTGTTTATTTGTTTTTCTAAAAAAAGTTATAAAATCATATATATATTTATATAAATAAGGGTTTATCTTCTCTAAAGAAATTATATTTTAGAAAATAAAGTGCAATAATAATTATTTAATTTGAAATTATATTTTAAAAATAAAGTACAATAATAATTATTTTAAAATTATATTTTAAAAAATAAAGTACAATAATAATCATTAATCAAAAAATTAATTATTGATATTATAATCAATTTTATATTTTATTTTACAAGAATTTGATTTTATCTTAAATCTTAATAGTTAATTTTATAATTAACAATTATGAATATACTTTATCTTTTAAAATTTATTTCTTTACTTTAAAAGAGTCAAATCCATTTTTTCATGAAAAATATTTTACTTAAAGAATATAAATAATTTTTTAAGATAAATTATGTTTGAATTGGATATGGGCATCAAAGACAACAAACTCTTTCTAAATATTTAACTAAGTTATATATTTAGAAATCAAATTTGAAATTACTAGTTAAATTAAAACAACTTCTTCTCAATTGTTTTATGCATTTAGTATTTTCATGAAAAATATATGATTCAATGTAAATATATGGCTCAAATTAATTAAGGTACAATTTTTAAGAGTTAATTATCTTTTTGTCACTCATTTTATATTAATTTTTACTTATAATCCCTTAAAAAAACTGACTAATTAATTAAGGTACAGTTTTTAAGAGTTAATTATCTTTTTGTCTCTTATTTTATATTAATTTTTTTACTTGTAATCCCTTAAAAAAAACCGACTAATCATAGTCTCCCATAAATTATTTTGTATGTTTTTAATTGTTATTGTTATCTTGAACTGTGATTATGTGACACTAATGTTCAAGTTCAAAGTCCATCAACTAAAGATTATTTTTTTTTGTCGTCCCTGTAGTATTCATTGCCAATAGCAGTGACTAATCTCCTCGCTACGTTGGAGGCACCTCAAAGGGTGGGATAGCTGGCTCCAAGATTTAACGCGATTGCATACACAATGCAAGATTCGAACTTCTGACCTTGCTTAAGCGTGGATCAACCCCTACCGCTGAACCACACGCTTAGAATTAAAGATTATTTGTCATTAAGTTTTGTAAAAAAAAATAAAAATAAATAAGTCATATATTTTAGTAGAAACACCTAACATATAACTATTTTATTTTAAGTATAAAATTTTAACTCCAATTTTATTTTAAGTTATTATCATTGTTGGATTAATCTTGTTTACTTTAACTTTTAAGTGACTTGTCATGTGACTACTAGTATGATATGGTAATTATGTGACATTTTTTTTTGGCTAAAAATCTAATTTGGTCCCTTATAATAATTATTTGTTTCAATTTAGTCCCATTTTTATTTTTGGTTTCAATTTAGTCCCAAACTAATTAATTGGTTTCAATTTAGTTCCAAATTAATTCATTGGTTTCAATGTGGGACTTCCGTCCAAATTATTTAAACGGAGTTAACTTTTGGTCACGTGGATGCCACGTGGATGAGAATTTTTTTGAAAACACCTGGACCCAGAACGGCCCGTTCTGAAACCGGAACGGGCCGTTC